GATTGAATTTACTGGTAAATGGGATGATGATATAGAAAGAAGAACAACAGAGATAATATTTCGTAAAGGTGATGAGAGAAAATTTCGTAACATGGAATGGGATGTTAAATATAGAAATGGAGAATTTACTATAGAAGAAATTATAGAAAAGGGTGAAATATTTACAAAGGATATTGATGGTAAACATATAATTGAAAATGATACTGTTTATTGGCGACAGAATTTTCCAGAATTTAAAAAAAGATATCTTCAAGATTATCCTAAATGCAGAAAACTTTATCAATATAGAGAGATAAATGAAAATAATAAAAGAAGATGTGATGATGTAGAAAATGAAAATATAAATAAATGATATAAATCAACAGAAGTAATTGGTGAAAGTAGTGGTGTGATAAATGAAAATATTAATAATATAGAGGAAGAAATGATAGAAGATATTCCTGCATTTTTAATTGAAACTGATGAAGAGGAAAATGAAAATCAAAATAATGATAGTGATAGTGAATAATTTATTAATTTTATTACTAATAATAAAAAGTATAAATAGTTAATTTAATTATTTTTTTTAATAAAATGAATCAACTAATTTTTATTTATACATATGGAGATACTGCAAGTAGAAAAACGTTTTATTTTCATAATACTTTTAACAGAAATTTTATTTATTATAATTATAAAAATAAAATATCAAGAACAAAATTATTTAAACAATTTAACATAAAAGTTATACATGAAATGATCAGATCAAATACAAAAATTACTAAATCTTTTATTAATAAATTTAACAATAAAAATATAAAATTTGTATATTTGGAATCATTGTATTCAATAGAATTTTATAAAATTGATAAGAATCTTAAAGATGAGATTGATTATATTATTAAATTTAATGGAAATTATAATAGTAATTTAAATAAAATATCATATAAAGAAGGAGAAGAAAAATACCAATTTGAAAAGGGTAGTGAAGAAGAATTGATAAATAAATGTAAAGAATATAATTGTTTTAAGAAAACAAAATAATAATAATTATATTATTAATTTATTTAATTTTATTATTAATATTTAGTATTTTAAAATATTATAAATAAAGTATTATT